TGAAGGTGGAAGGCACAGGTCCAGTGCAGCTTTAACTCTGCCTCGGATAATCGTCTCGTAGCAGAGTGTTTCAAACCACTTCTTCTATATCACTCAACAATATCTCTACCAAATATGAAGTGCGCAAGGTAAATAGAAGATAGTGGCACAACTGTGTTTTTAGATTAACACGTTTACACACATACTTAAAATGTAACCACAGAATACAAGTTTGTTCACCATCCCTCCCCCAACCCACTGACCCAGACTCTGAGCACCCAGCAGTATGATTGCGTACACGACCGTTCGTCGATTGGCAGGTCGCAAGCGCTAGGATATATTTTGGGGGCTCTCACCTCTTCCAAGATGTCTGGGCCACCGTGGAAGAGTAGGCCAAAATACCTCCAGAGGGGGGCTCTCCAGAGCCCTTCATAGGTGAGGTCTTACCTGGCAGCAGTGGAGTGAACAAGGCACTTTAAGGGCTGCCCCCTCTACTGTTGAATGCAGTGTTTACATCGAAACGCTTATTTAAACGCCGAACACATCATTATTTTAACTAAACGGTAGGAGTATGCAACCGCTGTTTAACAGCATGCACATCTTTTTTTCGCACTGGAACTGATTATGTGTCTTTGTACGTTGCGGTAAAAACAGGACAAATTGTTCCGTTGTAGATCTCGGGCTTTCGCCCTGCGCGTCTCCTTCTACCGTGACACAAAAAGCACGCGCCCCAATTAATCTACGAGCCCTAATGCCAAGGTTAACGGTGACGAAAAGGTTGCGTTGCGCGGCTAATCTTTTTTTTGTAAACCCCAGATCATCCGTGACTTCTCCAAACTCCCCTTGAAAACGAACCGTGCCCATGTTGCTCGAGAGGAGCCAGAATCTTCGTGCCCCCCCCGCCCCCTCCCCCTTTATGTACATTGTGATCACCGCATGGAATATGCATCGGCTCAGGACGTGCAACCCCCAACTTGCCTTACAAACGGTATGTCAGTTGCTGCCTGAGCGGCGCTGATAAAAAAAAAAGACGCCGAGCAAAGAACGGACCTTTGATAAACACACAGCGCTCCCGAACGTCGCGATTAAAACTGGGGAAGGATGTCTTATTTGTTGAGGTAATGGTGCAAGCCGCACGATTCGTTCGCTCGTTGCGAATGCCGCTGGAAGGGCCTTCATTAAAGAGAGATCTGGATATTCCCCGCTAGAGCGCATTTGGCCTAATCCTCCACACTGGCCCAGACGTACCAACACGGAACGCCTCTACACCACCTACCGATCGACTCATTGTGGTGAACACATTTATACCTCTGGGTGGAAGCAGGGGAAGGAGGGTATTTAAGAAAAGTTTGTTTTAACTTCCGCGCCGGGAGATCGAATCCAACCGGCGACGTCTGGGTCGCCAGTCCAGTGTGCTCACCATCACACCACGGCGGAATTCTGAATATTTGTTCGCAGATTTAAAAAATATATATTTACAACTTGAAAGATGTGTTGTGGCTCTTTGTGTGTCATTGAATTTGTATTTGCTTTCAGAAATGCAATGCAACCAAGTGTTGTGCAGTGGTGAGCTGAATACAAAATATAGTACTTCAACTAAATGCGTGTAAGTTGTGCCTGTGCACCATAGAAAGTGTGCAGTAGGAATGAGTTGTGAGCTGGGGTTGCCACCTTTCAGGTACACACATACTGGGACCGAACATGGGAACACGATTAACCTCACACTAGCAGAAGAAGGGAGCACGACATTTAGAAACATTGTCTGGGGTTGGGTGTTATGACAGCACCGGGGTTCTTATCGTCCCGGGAAGACTCACAGATTACTCACCTATGCTGGTTTCCCCAGGACAGGTGGCTACTCTGGTGAAAGCCCCTGGCAGGAACAGGCGGGAACACCGAGCACATAGCATCACACCGACACTAACCCACGCAACATTCCGCAACATGGCAAACAAATATATCGAGACAATTATTAATTCATGCGATGCTTATTTAGTTATTTGCCACGGAGTTCACGGTGGCCGCGCTCGGCGTAAGCTACCAAGGAGCAGGCTGTGACCCCAAAGCAGCTGAGAGGGCCTCAGAGTCTTGAAAAAAACGTTGGGATGCATCAAGGTCAGGTCAAGTTCAAATGCTGCTCAACACGCCGGCTTAATAAGCATCGGCAAGCAACTCAGTGGTTCTCGTCTCTACCCTGTCTGCGTCTCTCCCCTGTCACTTCACTACATCGACAGCGTGTCTCGTGTCTCTCCTCTGTCGTCTCACGATGCTGTTATGAGTTGAAAGGGGGCTTCCCCAAAGCCATTCTGCTTATGCCCCTCAATGGGCCAGCACCACCAGCATCGGCAGTTCAGATGTACTGTGTCACGATCACTGTGCTGGTTTGACACGTAAAACAAAAAAAAAATCAAGATTGATGATCACGATGAGACGTGAACATGAAAGTTTTTTTTTTCCAAAACCAAATTCTGTTCATAACAATGTCGGCTGCTTTGATTGCTTTTCTCTTGTTATCATTCTTATTTTGTATCATTATTAATCTTGTTTGCTCGGGAAAGCCTCACTGACACTCACGGAGCGTGGCGCTTCGATTTCTAGTCAATTGTGCACCACGTGGACGCTGCCGGGAGATAGAGCAGGACATGTGAGATGTCACGTGGCCCTCGTGGCTTCTGTCAGGTGCAGCGAGAGAGGAATTACCCCTCAAGCCCCAACACCCAACCACACGATGTGGAGCCCACGCTGTTCTATGTACCACGGTGACCAACCCCCTCAACAACGAGATGACGCTTTTGAATGGTCGAATTGTCACATTTCTTGAGAACTGCCGTTTGTGTTGAGTTTGTTGTCCTGCCCCCGCACCTTCCGATTAGCACGGATGGCCACGTACGGTGCGAAAGAAGTTCACCATACATATGTTGAAATCGAAGCGCCACACTTGTGAATCTTCCTTGTGAGTCTCACGACTTTTTTTCAGGAGGGTCCTGACAAATGTGTATGCAGCAGGTGGCGGCGGCGGCGGCGGCGGCGGGGGATGATTGTTATGCTATGAATATTCCAATCATAGGAATGTAATAAGCTGCGTAAGCCGTAGTTGTGTTTGACAGCAATGTAATATCGCCTGTGTCATCACGAGCGCCTTCATTAGCCGAGGCAGTTGCATCAACGGGCCACTCCGGTTTGGCACCGTGACCCCGGTGAGCTCCGTGCGTCAGGGATCGCAATCCTTGATCTGCGATCACAGGTTGCACGTGCCACTTGTTGGGCTGACATTTTGGCGGAGTCGTGGCCAAGCGAGCGGATGCGCTTTGTGTAACACGCGCGCGTGCACCTACGGGCGTTCTTCATTACGCTCGATTACACGGGATGAGGGCGCAGCCCTGCAATTGCTCCCGTACGTCACTACCGGCAGAAGGAGAGTACTCACGATTCACCCCACCACGCATACGTCGTCTGTTATCTGGACAGTGGCAGTGGGGTTGTGGGGGAGATTTGAGAAACTAGCGCTATTGTTTCAACTGCTGCACAGGGAGATTGAATGGACCTGTCGACCTCTGTATTAGAAGTCCAGTGAACTCACCATGGCACTGCTGTGGAAGCATCCCCCAGTGCTCATAGCTGAAACAAAATACTGGACTCTATAATCAAGGATGTATTTGTCTAATTTTGCCACTTTAATTGCAGTAGCGACGACTCTTCGCATACTACCAAAGGTTGAATGTTCATGTTACCAGCGGTGGTAATACATAATGCAAAACGTTACATGTATAATTATTTTTAAACTTATCACCATTGACATTGTTGTTGGAAGGAATATTACATCATACACACAATAGCATATCATTAACATTCAGTATCGTACACCAGGACACGCCCCTGTACATTGGGGATTGTCAGACAAATACCAATCTGCTGTTTGCAGATGCGATTGCAGCTGCTTGTAACCCAGCCAGACGGAATCTGACAACGCTGATGGTGTGATCAACAGAACGCAATGAATGCGGTCCATTCCAGGTTGATAATTGGCCGTCGATCGCAGAAGTGGTAACTGTTTGTACCCGCGGAGGCTTGGGCTTATGAACCCATTTGGAACTGAAATCCCCACGCAGCTATTACCCGAATACATTATCGGTCTGAATCAGTGCAGCTGTGAAAGCCTCAAACAGAATTTGTTATGTTTTATAGCAAGTTATAATATCCCGCACCTCCGATTAGCAAGGTTGTATATGTACGGTTGGAAACAAGCTCACCATACAGACATACAAGTGTCTCCAAATAAGAGCGTGTCAAAATACAATATTATTTTTGACAATGCAATTTTCACAACATGCATCCTCCTACTTATCAATTCACGTATGTATTACTTACCCCGAGCCAGGGCAAACAAATAAAATAGCTTCAAAACATACACCATATGAGAAGGTGGAAACACCACTCGTCTCACTCGTTATCAATGCAGCCCGTGCCACTGAGCCATGAGTTGGAATGCCGATGTAGTATTTTATCAAACTAATAACACGAAGGTTTTGGTGATGTACAAGCGTCGAGGGCTCCTGAGGATCTTCCGGCATGCAATAAGTAGCTTCTGAAATGATGTGGGCTGTTGTTTGCACATCTCGGCTGTGTCCGTGATTGTGAAAATATTTCATCTGCATGGTCGCTACGAAAAGCTACAAGATTGACCTCCAAGGCCGCGAGGCATCGGCTGGGTTCACATTACGAAAACTCTCACGTTCAGCAATACACTGCCCAGCTGCCCGGAGCTCTTGCGAATGTAATACACACCCAAGGCGGGTTTGTTTCAAAGCTCCAAACATTATATTGCGGAAAAGGCCACGTTTTTTTTCTCTAACCCGCTTACATGATGATCGCAGCCGAGATCACGCCAATTACACCGGCAGACGTAAAGCCAACCAGGCAGCTGGCGCACGCGCGCGCACAAATGGCACCTGGCACATTTTCAACTTTCTCCTGCCAAATGCCGGGGAGACAGTTGGGAGGCAGTTAATTGAAACGCGTGGCCTCACTTTGGCCAGAGGAGACGACCGCCCTCTCCGCGCGCTGAACGCGTCTCCAGCAGCTCGCAGGCTTCAGCGAGAGCCGTTCGACATCTCCATTGTCACGTGATCTCTTAACGTGTCGGACCGCAACCCCAGAGGTATTCCATTTTAATCAGAGATTAAATCTCCCCCTTAGTTCCAAAGGCAGTTGCTGTAAGAACCCTTCTTCCCCCATATGTCCCTGGAACCAACGTCACGTGGCTGTTTTTTTGTGTTGTTGAATCACCAATCTGCCTACGACACGCCTGCCCTAATCAGGGTGCAGAGATCGAAAGAGCCGACTTTAGATTGCATGGGAGACTCCACAAAAGGACGGAGTGGGAGGGCAAGCGCCCTGCAATTGTCGCGGGCGTGGGAGGAAGTGGGATGGGATGGAGATGCAAGGCAAAGCCAGGGGGGGTGAGTGGGTGGGGGGGCAGCATTGGCAGTGGCATCCCACTCACAATTTAAAGCCGGGTTTTAATGTTTTTAATATATGCAGCGATGAACGACCCTGAAGACTGGAAACAATTTCACGAGGTTACGACACGCCAGAGCGTATAAAAGTGCATGAATAATTCAAGATATGTATTTTTTGGAAAATGTTTCATATCTTGCAGAGGAATATCAATGGTAATAAGATCATAATTTGCATGGCGATATTTGTATGCGATATACGCCAATAAGTAATTTTTTGTTGAGAAAAGGTGTGCATTGCATAAAACCTTTGTTTTATAGAACAAAAGCATGGCTATTGATTGTTTTCGATTGCGGTGTCGTCGATTGCAACTTGCGCCTTGGGAAAATATAGGTACACTTCTTTATAGCAATATTGATGTCGGCCAGTTTTTTTTCTCTCTCCCGCGTTCCATCACGAGGCAGCACACGCATTTAAATGCAACATGCTGCAGCCCACAGTGCATCGCCCTGTGTCAGAGAATGGCGGTGGAAGGTGACATCACAGAACTACTTCGGAGGCCACCTCGGTGGACCCCACGTGCACACATTGCAATGCCCTAAACACCTTTAACACCGGTGCGCTGAACTAGTCGCGAATTGGCACGTTTTGTTAGCGTGACAAACCTTACTAATCAACTGAGTCGGGTGTTGGCGGGTTTAACGACGCATTTATATTCATGCGATGCAATCCCAACCCCACCCCACCTCTATTATGCATACAAACCTTGTGTCTCACGTTCGTCAAGTAATTATATTTCTGTCTCAGTGCTTGAATTCTTGCCAAGTTAAGGTAACTCCTAAATGTAATGTGGTGGGTTCTTTTTTTGTTTACGCAGTCGTATGAGCGAATAGACGAACACCATCGACTAATTTTACTTGCAAACCTCGGTTCAATCGCGGGATTCTTAAGCCAATGTCTCAGCCGTGCAGACTCAGTTCTGCGACCCGTCAGCCACTCGGCCTCCACATTCCGTGCGCTTTTTAATCCGATACCACAACGAGCATGCTCCAGAGCGAATTCACCAATATATTCCAACTTTAATAAGGGCTGTTGAAGGGACGTTAGGTAATAACCACCATTTCCTTCATGCATAAATAATCATGTTTTCATTCACTCTGTGAAGTTGTAGGTGGCTGGTGAAACAAGGCCCTCAGGGACCTACAGTTTTCAGGTAATGTTTCTTAATTCAGAGTTTTCGGAATATGCCGTCTTACATTTACAAACTTTCCTGCTCAAATGGGCATTGCAAACAGTGCTCATTTCTAACTTCCAGCGCTGTGCCAATGGCAGAAAGTCCACAGTCACATTCTGGGGGCAATGCTCCCCATCGGACAACCGCTGTTGACATCCACACAAAGTGTTACTCCATTTATTTACCATGGAGGGATGATGGGCTGAGTCAAGCCCCCAAATCTGGATTTGAACTTGCAACCTTCTGACTGCGCGCCACTGGCTCTAGCATTGAGCCACCTGGCCATAGAGAAATTGGCTACCCAACACAAGCTATTCTAAATACGCTCATTGTCCCGGGCCGTCTGTCTGATACGAGATTGATGCTTGGTTGATGACAATCCGTACCACCCATGCCAGATGCCGCCAACTCCTATTCAGGTGAAGACCTTGGGCCAAGCTGTGGAGCTTTGGGAACCTTCGAGTGAACTCAGCAGAGGAATTGAAGACGTCCGATCGGCTTCTCCCTCCGCTCTATGCAAAGACTGAATTTGGACAAGATGCACTTGGACTTATGGAGTTGCGGTATAGAGACACGCACAAACAGAACAAGAAGCGATGATTGACACTCATGGTCACGTGTGCCATTATGTCACTCTCGTGACATGCAAAATTAGTCCCAAATTATGTTTGTAAAAATAATTCCCTCACAATGTTTTTTTCCTCCGGATTGCGCTATAGATGTCTTGTCATGAGACAAATAATCTGATCGGAACTCGCACAGCGCAGAGCAATGCTCGTATTAAAGAGGCCAGCGGAAGCGGATATCTCAGAACACCTCCTGAAATTCCTCTAAGTCACTTATGGTAAACAGAGTAGAGAGTGACGCTTTCCCCACCCCCAGTGCCACAGATAACATTAACGGTCACACGACAAGCAGACCGATGTATTTATTTCTCAAAGCAGGAATATAGCCGAATGAGCTCCCTCTAGTCGAGGCCCTTCCGCCAGCAGTGGCTTGAGCAAGGCAAATGCAGGGCTGCACCTTTATATTCCATTCATCATGATTTCTTTGAATTTGACAATTGTGTTTTGGACTGTTACGGAGTGTTGTTGAAGCCAAATGGATAACAAGGTTAATGTTATCAATATTTTTTTCTGCCTTTGCTTTGCCTAATGGATTACCGGAGAGGGCACTTGAACAGCCGGTGAAAAGCCCTTATTTTCACATTTCTTTCAAGTGACTATGGATTTTCAGCACCTATCCGCAATCATCAAAGCGTGATTTAAAAGCCTATAAATGTCTCCACTGTCTCCGTCAAATTACCTTTTGATGAAAGACGCACGTGTTCACGTGCAAATCTCCTCGTATTAAAGTGCAAATTACGCTAATAAGCACCGTCTTAACGATAAGGGCAGCGTTTTACAATTCATTAGTGGCGCTTATTCATGACTTGATTCTTTTACTGGAAGCTCCTGACCGCTGTTCATTTTCATTCACAACTGAGGCTTTTTGCTTTCCAGCGAGGTTCCAGGTGTCTGTGGCCAGAGTCGTAATAACATCTCACCTGTATTAATATTTATTCATACAATGTCCCTTACGACCAAATCACGTAGAATCTAAGCCGGTTACAGCCTGGATAGTGCTTGGACGAGTGATCACAGGTGTAGTCGGCGTGGAGGGCAGTCGAGGGCATGTACAGCAACATCCATTGCTGTTCAATACTCTTCACCGATCTCGCAATGACCGGCATGGTGAAGTATAGTCAAGTATTCGTGCAGACCCGCAAAGCACGGGGTAGGTCTCATCCAGCAGTGCGTCGAGAAAACGCGCTCTGCGCACACAACGCAAAGGCACGGGGCGTGCATGCTCCTTTTTCCGACGCCGATTTGGAGTGGAATGTAATTGTCCTAATTATTATTTTCGCACCGCCCAGCGCCGTGTGAGCTATTGGCTGCCTCGCCATGGCCAATGGTACCCACACAGCATCGCCCACCCACTGCCGCTGAGCTCCCGTTGAGTCGAAGTGCCCGTGCGCTGATCACGTAGTCAGCTCTGAACCCGACCTTTCCACGGTGTTCACCTCTGCCTCCCCATCACTTTAGCCCCTTCCATTCCCCCCCCTCCCCCCCGACCTCATTTGTGTTTGTTCCACCCCAATCAATGGACCTAACTAGGGTTGCCACCTCTGAGCCACAAGAAAACAAATGGGGAATACCGCAGGAATACGAATATCTCACAGTGCCGGACGAGGGGAGAACCACGTGTCAATGATTGCTCATGTATGAAGGCCGGCGCGGCACGCGAGGGGGGCCAGCACCATGACAGGCCGCCTTTGTCTCCCCCGGTGGCGATGTTTACATATCGCACCAGGCACTCGTGTAAGACTAAGTCGACCTAGGGGAGGCCCAGGACCGGTTTAAATAAATGTCACTGGTGTTGCCCGTGAGCTGGAATCGAGCTCCAGTCGCCCGGTTCGTAGCGCAGTGCTCTAACCGCTGCACCACCGCTCTCTGTAACTATACTTTACACACAAAGATAACAAAAGATTCCCCGTGTAGCCTTAACAGACTGTAAGGGCAAGTGCTGTTAGAGAGCACCTATGAAGGCCGGCACGGCACACGAGGGGGTGGGTGGCCAGCACCACACCCGGCCGCCTTTGTCTCCCTAGTGGCGATGTTTTTACTCACCGCACCAGGTACTCATTTGAGGCTGAGTCGACCTAGGGGAGGCCCAGAACCGGTTCAGGTAATCGTCACCGGGTCGCTAGGGTCGTAGCGCAGCACGCTAACCGCTACACTACCGCTCCCCACACACACGTACGCAGAGACATACATACATGCACACACACACACACGTGTCACTCACCCGTTGCTACCCAGGACAACCACAACAACCCATGATGAGGACACAATATAATTTAATTATATAAATGAATGGTGGATCAGGTTTTAATCGCGCTGCTCGCCCACACGCAACACTCCTTTACCATGCCATACTGACTAGCATGGTGAGGTGTGGTCAAACAACCCCGATGACTGATGCAACATGGAGAAGCATTCTTTCACGAAAGGGCTGTACATCAGTATTGATCATATTAATAGCCTGTTGTTAATCCACTGCTGGATAAAGGCCCTGCCACACCGTGCCGTTCGTGGGGGTAGTTTGGACGATCCCTCACCATGCCGATCGACACCGTAGGCTTCCGCAATCATTATTTATTAAGATAAGAGTTGTTTGGGTGAGATCGCCTGATGATGCTGGTTATAATCACCAGCGAGACGTCGTGCTGAAATAGTAACTGATTGGCACGTTTTGTCACGTGACAAACCTTACTTAATTGGTGGTGTCGGGTGGAGGGTGGGCTTACGACACATTTACATTTACACGATATAACAAAAAAAACTTCAACACGGGCTGGTCAAATGTCACTCGCCACTGATGTTAGCCACGACCAGGGAATTGTCGACCCATCAATGGGCTCATATTGCAATGCGCAAACAACTCCATCATATATCTAAACCGGTCCTGGACCTCCTCTAGGTCGACTCAGCCTCAAATGAGGACCCGGTCTGATGTGCAAACATCTCGATTCGGGAGACAAAGGCGGCCGGGCGTGGTCCTGGCCATCCCCCTCCTCGTGTGCCGTGCCGGCCTTCATAGGCCCTCGCTGACAGCACTTGCCCCCAAAAGTCTGTCAAGGCTATACGGAGGATCTTTGTCTTTGTGTGTAAAGTATAGCATAGGCTCTCAAAACAAGGATCAAGTATGCATTAGGCCGAAGTCCCACAAACCTTCTGCCGGCGGTCGTGCTAATCGCGTGCTTTTTTGCGTTGTTAAATGCAAAAAACTAATGAAAAAATTGTAATGTTTATTTTGAAATGTTAAAATACAATATCTTACATTCACACAGCCAATAACTTAGTACAAATATAACATTTTCCCTCACTGAATATTCACTTGATTGCAGATGATGCATTGCATAAATTATTCAAAATTATACTATGCACGATGACATTTGTGAAAAAAATAGCTTTGACATAATTTAAGATAACCACCATTCAATTAAATTAACAATAAAATATAGGCAGTTTCTGTTCCGTATATGCGAACTTGGCCTATTATATATATTTTAGTAAAATTGCACTTATCCACAACAACTTTGCAGCTAATATACAGCAGAAGAAAGTTTTTTTTTCATAATAATGCTGCCATTGCATTTCATCGGACGGGATGCAATTTTTTTTCAGCCAAAATGCCACTGTTTTCAAAAAGCCATGGTCTCAGAACCCCATTTAAAGCTGTAGGAATGTGTGCGTGGTGAGGTGCAAAATGCTGACTCGAGTTAAGGTGTGGGTGAGTGCACTAAAAACTGAAGAGCGAACAAAACGTGAAGAAAAGGGCTTTAGTTGCACCAGGGGTGGGGTTACGATGAAGGGGATACGGCTCAGGGGGCAGGGCTGGTGACAGGGTCCCTCTCGTTAGCTACTCGGGGTAGAGAGAGGGTCCGGGTGATCCCGTACACTCTCAAAGTGAGCACCACTCTCTTCCTGTTTACACCCCCCCCCCCGGAGCCAGCGGTGGAAATTCCACGTTCGTACGGCGAGAACGAGTCTCTCCAGAAGTCAACCACTGTCGAGTTCTTCCAAAAATGCCACCCATTTTCTTTTTTATATATCGACCCCGCAGGGATGATGGGCTGAGTCGACCCCCACAGCCTTCCAAGTACGAACCGCTCGCCCTACCACTGAGCCATCTCTTCCTTAATGGGCCCCCTCCCCCTAAGTGCCCCCCCCCTCCCCCTCTAGCAAAGCACGGCCTTCTTCTCACCCTTTGTCCGCTTTTCAGTGTTTGTGTTTCAAGCGGCGCACGATGGGTTACAGACGTCCATGCAGAATAAGTCGGATAACGTGAAGGCACTTCATGTTATGGTGCACACACAGCGCTGCCACCCGCTCCCTTGCCTGCACAGACAAAACAGAGAGAATGAATGAATGCGTTTACCATGAATACGCTCGAGGCGTCACTCGTGATGGCAATCAACATGAGATCTCCGCGAAGCCTTAAGGCCGGCACGGCACACGAGGACCCGGTGGGTGGCCAAGCACCACGCCCGACCGAGTGGCAAAGTTTGCCCACCGCACCAGTTACTCATTTGAGGCTGAGTCGACCCAGCGGAGGCCCAGGACCGGTTCAAATTATCGTCACTGGACTGTTGGCCACGAGGCGGCAAGCGTTCCCGGGTCGCCAAGTTCGGTTGCGCAGCGCGCTACCCGCTACACTACCGCTCCAACAATCAACACGTGCACAAGCACGCACGCGCATTGACAGGACAATCAGCGTCGTTCCCCAATGGCAGTGGTATTGCCATCGCACTGGTGGCAGGATCGGTGCACTTTTGAGGTGTCTGTGACTACGTGACAAAGTTCACCAGTCGGGGTCAGACCCAGGTCATGTCGGATGATGACCACGAGGTACATAACAGGAATAGGCACACCGGGGTCTGGCCTGCATGCATGGTCCCGCAATATGTCTAGGCGACAGGAGATACCGCAGAGAAGATCAACTACCACGCGGCTTTTGTTTTAGTTTTCTTTCGGATATTTAAGAAAGCAATTATGCAAAAGCATCTCTCAAGTCTTATCATGCGTAGGACGTGTGCCCATCTTGTCAAAATGACGATATGAAGACATGCGTTCCATAAAGGGTGACTCATACTGCAGATTTCTACGTGAGAGCTTTTCGATATGAAAGTGTCACTCCGAAGAAGACAAAGACAGCTTCTTCAATCACACAGGGCAACTGAATAATGAAGAAAGCGCCTCCCTGGAGCAAGGCCAGCTGTGCTTATATCCAATGTGTGCTTGTATCAGAAGTTGTATTGTGCTTTATTGTCCATGGGCCAGAGCATGACTGGTACCAGCCAAGATAGCAAAGCTTTGGACGTACCGATTTAGTTACACGGCTGAGTAGTGGGTAACCCCACTCCTTTGTCATGGTTACCACATGATTCACTGGTGTTGGCCACATAAAGAATTTGGATCCGCTCGAGTGATACCATCTCAGTTGGAAATGTCAAGTGAAATATCTGGTCTGGGCTCATGGACTGTGACTCCCACCAGATAGATGAGATTTGGTGGGGCTTGCTTGGGTTAAAAGGGTCATAATTATAAGTAATTAATTGTTTGGTTAAATTTGTGTCGTTAACACCTTCCACCACCCCAACACAGGTGACATCAATAAACTTGTCAAGTGTACAGTACAAGCGTTTAACCTGCCAATTCTGATTGCTCCAGCTCACCGGTGCTGTGAGCTGGAGGACAATCATCATAAGCGACGTTATGCTCGAGACTGCGCCAAACATCTTCTAAGACGAGATCAGAATGTCGGCTCTGCTGGGTGATGGGAGGGCTTTCTTCTGACAGATATTTGGCCAGATCTATAACGTGGCCTAAACAAAAAATCAATTATGCATCATAATATTGTTAAGTTTTACAATGAGGATAATCGCGTCATGTGGTCCAACACCAATGAAGACTAGGCTCTCAGAAAAGCTGTCTGGGGTGTGGACCAATCAACTTCAAGGACAGTGCATATCATTATCATTATCAGAGTTGTTTCTCTTTGTTTGCATTTTGACTGCTTGTGTTGTGGTTATTGCAAACATGATCCCTTGTATAAAGGTATCAGTTTTTGCACCAGTTGAAAGGGTAAAAACCTATTACTATATTTTGCCACTGGTAAAGGAGATGTCTCATAGTGAGGATAATCGTTGCGAACGAGACCTGGCCATGATGTGTCCTCTCCAGCGCCTGGACTGTGGCCACTCACCTCCGGCAGGGCTCCTAACTCTTGGTGCAGAGCGGACTCATGGTGAGTCTTCTGAGGAGGCGTGCGCACCTCCGGTAGTCTGCACCCACGAGGACACGGGCAAGGAAGACGAGACAAATATCAGAAAATGAGACGTCAGCCGCAAGCTTCCACACCGCGGATATTAATAATCCGTGGGCCATAGCAACAATTGGTACCACGTGGTGTAGCTAAGCATTGGCGACACCGCTGTATTTATACAGCTAATGAGGGCGAGGTGTTTGATAGCCCTGTTCGTTTCAAATGGTTATCACAATCACTGTTATTGGACACGTAAATAAATTGTAACGGCGAGTCCAATACGTGGTCTGGGCTCGTGGACTTCACACTGCGATGGCATGGCGAGTGGCGACTGCTGCGTGCCTCTCGCACTCGAGTCCTCGCGACGCGGGCTCAACGCTCAGTCAAACAACCCCTCCATGCTCGATACAGTTTTGGGGGGGCTTCATCCAGCAGTGGATTGACATAGAGCTGTGATCTTATCTTAAATATGCACGGTATAGTATATGCATGAGTGCGATTTGATTGGAGTGTGCAGGCTCGTGAGTTTCACTGGGACTTGTCTGGGTGACCTGGAAATTAGTTCCACACCCGGCACACCACATCCAGTATGTATCTCGCGATGGCTGTGGCTACGACTCGTCACGTGACTATTCCAGTCTGCCAGGAAATCAGTGAAAATGAAATGCTGCATGGGGCCTACCACTCGCATGACGGTTTAGATAGATATTTGTAGAACTGATCAATCATTATTCTGGCAACGTCTCCCAACTTAAGAGGAGAGTGAGAACACAGAATCTGGTTGCGGGTAAGCAGGGCTCGATTTCAGATAAAGATGTTTGGGGCTGACCTCTGGAAAATATTCCATGATAAATTCAGCCCGGTATTGACCCCCTCCGTAGGAATATGGAATTGTATAAGTGGTTTTGGGCCCTCATATATTTTTGTGTTTCGTTTGTTGTCCTTCCCCTGCACCTCCGATTCGCACGGTTGGCTCCGTACGGTGCAAAAGACGTTCAACATACAAAGATGAAGACAAACAACCGGCCGGTGTCTATCTCATGCGACTCACAGCCGCTCTTCTCTGGGCTGCGACGCGTTCACCGGGTGCCATGCACGCTCCCCCGGTCGACGCTACGAACCATCGGCAAAGCCGACAAAGCTCACACACCCCAATGCCCAGTTCGTAGTGCATCCAGCCTGGCCTTCAACATCCAAACCATCCCACCACCCCGTAGGAACACATTTTAGACACTCACCAACTTAGTTTGGCTTAACGTACCAATATGAGACCACAGAGCTTGGCCAAGTGTTGGCGCCCAACTCGGAAAACATTCAGTGATCAACGAAGCCCTGTGTATTACAATCACAACAATGCCCTGTATTTATCCAACAAAGCATTGATGAGTCCCGGCATACCACATCAAGTGCACATCTCGCTTTGGCTGCGGCTCACCACGAATCGACGTGCCGCCTACTCTCGTCTACGAGCGGCCCCAGATCATGTTGAGTGAGAAATCAAAGCCCATGCCACAGGGTACTTGTTTCATGGCTTTATATCCGAGCCGTGGAGCAATGTGGACTTACAGGAGCGGACCGTGCAGTCGCGGGTGTTATGGTAGAGCCGGTAGAACTGCCGACTGCATTCCGGTGACATGTACATGGAACCTGCAATCCGCAAAGACACCAACACACAACACACGCGATGAGAGGCCATCCATTGAGTAGGTTCGCAAAAATCTGTCAAAGCTTGACCCCTCCCCTCCGTCCCTGTACGCACGCGGACTTTTTACACCCCCCCCCCTCCCACCTGCGTACGTTCGCCTGACGCACCCCCCCACCCCCGAACCCTATAGAACAGCTGATATTTAATCCACGCAGAAACGATCAAGGATTAATAATATTAACGTGTTTCAGCGAACAGATAGTCCACCGCCGGACTATCTGACTCATTTGAAGGCCAATGTAGACACACTATCGAGGCTTCACTCCCCCCACCTGTTTCCTATGCGTACGTATAATGTCAGTAGACCACCATACGCAAGCGTACGCATTTGGGTTAACCACCCTCCCCCTCCATGCGTTACGTTCTAAATGGATGCCCCCTAACGAGCATGGCCCCCCTAATTAACACGTCCACTAATTATCAGCCAGCGTCGAAGAGCGTGCCGATGTCGAGCCCCCACCCCGCCCCCCTCCCACCGGTGCCCGTGCACTCCGAGGGATTCATCTCATCCGGGGCTGTGCGGCACAGCGAGCCCGGGACAAAAAATATCTCCAAACCCTGCACACCACATCCAGTACCTCCCGCTATGGCCGTGGCGACTCTACAAGTCGACATGCCACTTGCTGCAGTCTGTCAGCAACCCGGAAGGGATTACGTGACCAATTAAGCCTGGCGCATTCCAACAACAACAACTATATTTTGATTTAAAACTTTCGTGACTGTAGGGATTCATATTCTTGGTTCTTTCGGTAAAGTCACGTAGAAGGGAAACAATAAAATAATACAAATATAAAACAATAAAATTATCACGAGGTTTCGACTGAAACACAAGCAATCATCATCAGGTGGGAAAAACCAAGCAAGAAAATTTGAAAAAAGTGGCGGTGTCTTCTTAACGTTTTTTTTTCTCACGTAAAAAAAACCCGCCACTTTTTTCAAATTTCCTTGCTGTGGGGCGCTCTTTAATCTTTACGTGACTTTACCGAAAGAACCAAGAATAACAACAACTATAATAATAATGTCCTTTACTTAGCCACGAAAGCGTCACTGAGTTGCGAGACTCTGTTCTATCAGGGAGTTTCCTGCAGTGGGATGTCCGTGTCCATGGGGGCAGGAGGCGACAGTGCCTTGAGAAAACCCAGCACGCATACCGCGGGGGAAACGCTCAAAACTCCACACGAATAGATTCAAGAATCTCCTGGGCACCGTGCCACCAAGTGTGCGGTGGTGACATGTGCGGCTTTGAGCCTGGATCTGTGTGCGTGTGGTGCGTATACTGTAACAAAGACATCAATATTACAGCCACAGAGGCTGATGCGGCAAGAGCTGTTAGCGAGCACCTATTAAGGCCGGCACAGAGCACATCAAGGAGGTGGTGTAGCAAGTACCACACCCGCCCGCCTTTGTCTCCCCATTGCTCATGTTTACACATCAAACCTTGTCCTCATTTAACTCTGGGTCGACTTAGGGACCGGTTAAGATATTCTACCAATGATGTTGGCCAAGTCCGACAATCAAATCAACCTGGGGTCACTGGGTTCATGGCGCATAGCGCAGTGCGCTAACCACTGCGCTACTGACACACACACAGTGCGATCACGTGGCAGGGCGCCAAAATTGGCCGTCTTGTTTTGTTAGAGTGTGGCACAGACTCTGGGCACTGAAAGAGATTTTTTTTTTTTAAACAAGACCCTGATTGAAGCAGTCGCGGTTCAATAAATGGACGGAGCAAATTGGTCGCCAATGACCGTGGAATTGTATTACACGCGCGGGGGATCTTTAGCTCACACGAGACCGTTGCTGGCAAGTCCAGCGGTCAGCGGGCTACGATTGGTAATTACGAACACCCCAGCCACCCACCCACCGTCCCTGCTGTGTGTGGGTGGTTCAAGGTAGCGTGGGAGAATGTGGGCGTGTGTGGGCAAGCGGCGTGGCGGGGAAGGTGGGGGTCGAACGGTGTTACATTGTATAATGGGGTATTCGTTACATTTGTGCGCTGCGTTATTATTATTGTTATTGCTGGTTCTCTAGTGTCCCTGAAGCACCCCGTGACCCTCGTTTGGATAAGAGGCAATTGCATGGACCTCATTTGTAGTTCGATGAGATAATCTTCCTAGAGGCCGCTCTTAAGGAGATTCATTACACGAAACTATGTTTCATTTTACCGGCTAAGGCCCATTGAGCTATGTAGCTTTTTTTTCAGAAGCGACCTGGCCACAAATGATAGCCCAATGATGTGGCTTGTCACTTGGAAATATATTGCAGCCTAATACTCTAAACGCATGTTCATTCTAAATGTGGAGGGTAAAACCGGAGAATGATCCATGCGACCATGGGGAGAGAGAACATGCAAGCTCTAAATATTCAAGCATCAGAATTGGGATTAAACCCAAGACACCCTGCATACCAGGCGAGGTAGTTGACATCTCGCTACCGCGGCGTCCCATCAGCGAGGTTTTCCCGGGGTCGGTGACCCAGACATTATCTCAGTGACCTACACACCACATCCAGTATGTCTCTCACAATGGCTCTGCCTACTACTCGTCAAATGCCGTCTTGCTTCAGTCTACACCAGGGATCTGGAAAATTATTCCGTTTGAAATGTTGCCCTGACCGTTTTGGTTGGATGTACTGGTCACTGCATGAGTTCAAAGTGAAAATGTTTACATTGACAACATGATGCCAAGAGCACAGTACAAATGTAACAGATAAGCAAATGCATGAAAGCAAAAACCAAAGCCTCGTTTTCTGAACATTAATTTTAGTTGCTTGATATAAAAGTGAAGGTGCGTCCAAAAATCAAGTGTTGGTAGTAAGTGAGCGACCAAGAGGGAATGAGCGAGCGGGCGAGTCAGTCAAGAGGGAATGAGTGAACCAGTCAGTGAATGAGTAAGTGATGGAGCGAGTGAGCAAGAGAGAGTGGGTAAGTGAGTCAGTGAATTGGTGAGTGAGGGAGCGAGTGGACTTGAGGGAGAGGGAGTGAGCGAACGAGGGAGTGAGCGATCACGCGGCGGTGAAAACTGTGAGAGCGATGCACAACTCACTCTTATTGGTGACGTGTTTGATGAATTTCTCTTTCAAACTCGGGTCACGGGTATCGATCGCTGTGCGGTGGGAGAAAGAAAGCGAAACACGAGGCCATCGTTAGCTCACGGCCAGTGCCGCTCGCTCCCGACCGCGAGCTTCCCGTAATGCCACTGGCAGACAGACGCACACATCGAGAGGGTCAACGAACACTGCGGGAATTTAAATTTCACGCGCACACATAACCCTGCTAATCGCACCTCCGATTAGCACGGTTGGCTACGTACGGCGCGAAAGAAGTTGAACGTACATAGCTAAAGATATTTTAAACATTCACACATTACAATCGGCGAGCAGTTGGTGGAGGAAGCTCCCGCAGAGCTCTTGCTGGAAGGAATATTTTGGCCTTCTTTTTCAGACTGCCCAGATGTCTCGAGAGACGTGAGCTCGCCTACACTTTACCCCACCGACACACGACCTGTCCTGCCGACCGACCAACCGTGCCGCCACCCATTCATTCCGACGTGGTTGGGTAGAGGTGGCGGGGTTTGGTAGCGGGGGCGTTCGAGAAACTCGCACCACCGTTTTGAAGCCGCCGCCGCGCCGGGCGATGAAATCGAAGCGGCGAACCTCTTGGGTCCTGGCGCTGACCACCGCACCGCGGCGCGCGGCTCTGGAGGGAAGGGGCCGTGGAGCCCAACGTGGGGCGTTCTTTAATATTTAATCGTCGTTGATAAGCGCTGGGCCCGTAAGCATTGGTCAGTCGCGAAATTCGCGCGTCCTTCCTAGCTGCGAATTTTTCTTCTTCGTGAACACAGCCATATTATGTCCATTTCCTCCCAGCGACTGAAGAACGACTAAGTCAACGAAAAAAGAATCGTACGGATTTAATTTGATTTTGACGTTCGCTCGCTGCATACGTACGGGACGATCCATGTATAGATACCCCATTGATTCTAATCGTCATCGAACTACATTCTGTACAGGTGGTTGCATACTCCGAAAGCGGTGGTTCTTTGCCTGACGGAAGAAATACCTTTACCATTGAATAATACGTGCGCTGAGATCGGTGGAAGTTTCTACATATGTTTTGAAATAATTCATTTTCTTCACAACGTATCCCTGTTGTCTCAATGCGGTATCTATAAATGGTTCACCGTCTCGCTTCAGAAGCAACCATTTGATTGACACGAAACGTCGTGAGAAGGGATGGCCGATGGCGAACAATAACAACGAAGTGGCGGCCAAGGAATGGAACGTCCACGGCTGCGTTGGAGCGATGAAGTTCGTTCACGTGCAGGTGCCAAGGCGGACAATCATGTCCGAAACGATCGTAAAGTGGTAGGCGGAGGCTTGGGGGGAGGCCTTCATCCAGCAGCGGATTGACCGTGGCCGATGATGACGGCGATGATTTGCGGCCACGCCCCTGGGGTAAGCAGTGACGAGGCACGGGGAGCAACCGCGGAACTTTCGTCCCCCCCCCCTCCGTTCGGTGGTGGGCGTCTTAGCACCGGGCTGCTCGCGCTGAGTCGCCATGCTCAGACACGAGGAGCTGCCGCATCCACCGCCCGGTGGGGCCCTTGGCGCCCGGTGTGGCCTCGCGCGGAGCCACGCGGCGGGGTCACGAGTGAAGGGACGCTGGGTCACACGGGGCCGCGTGTTCTACATGGCTTCCCGCGTGACGCCTCTCCTCCCTGTGGCACCGCGAGCTAAGGACCGTGGCCAGCCAAGATTCAACATTCCAGAATTGACTCCCCTCCCCCGCCTACCGCTGGGATGACGTTTTGGCCGCCGCGAGGATGAACGTTGGTGACATCACGCCCGAGGTGGCGTGTTGCTTGGGCAAGGTCCAGAACGCACGCGTCATGATGGCGGGTATCGATAGAACGCATTGGCAGACAATGTCAGGACCCTAATACAATGGTTATCCCCCTTTTAGATTCCTCCCTTTTTAGCTGTTAGCAGGTGGTGCGAGCGAGTGCCCATTAAGGCAAGTGGCGTCATTAAATGCCAACTAAGGCTGCCGGCGAGGAGGTAGTGTACGACTATCATGTCCGCCACATGAGATGCTATTTATTTTTGGCCAAATCAACCTCGGAGAGGGCCAGGTAACAAGACAAAGTCCGCAAGCCCCAGAATTGAATCTGGAACGACGGTTCCGTTCGCTGGATATAAAAATAAAAATGTACATGCACACATATACATGCACACATAAACATAAACACTGCGATTCTCCGACTAGCCTTAATGACCGCTGGAGCAAGTGCTGTTAGCGGTATCGACCTTCATGAGGTCGGCACAGCGCATGAATGAAGGAGCGGTGTGGCCAGACCCCAAGCCCTAGCGCCGTTGTCTCTCCAGTGCTGACATTCACACACCGCACCAGGCACACGCATTCGATGGTGAGTCGACCAAGGGCAGACTCGGGACCGGTTCAGATATTCGTCACCAATGTTGACCGTGGCTGGGAAATCGACCTCTGGTCGTCTGGTTCATAGCGCAAGGCATTTCCATTACGCTCCCACTCCACACTCACGCGCGCACTCGCAAAAGACAAAGATCCTCCCCTATAGACTTAACAGACTTTTTTGGGGGGATAGCGACGTAAGCGAGCATCTATGAAGGCCGGCACGGCACACACGAAGGGGTGGGTGGCCAACAAGACAAAGACAAAGATCCCCCATATACCCTTAACAGACTGGAGGGGCAAGTGCTGTTAGCGAGCACCTATGAAGGCCGCAACGGTACACGAGGGGGTGGGTGGCCAGCACCACGCCTGACCGCCTTTGTCTCCCCAGTGGTGATGTTTACACACCGTACCAGGTATTCATTTGAGGCTGAGTCGACCTAGGGGAGGCCCAGGACCGGTTCAGATAATCGTCACTGGTGTTGGCCGTGAGCGGGATTAGAACTCGGGTCGCCGGGTTCATAGCCCAACGCGCTAACCGCTACACTACCGCTCCTCTGTGGCCAACACACACGCTGACATACACACACACGCGCTTACACACACACGCTGATACACACACACGCGCTTACACACACACGCTGACACACACGCTGACACACACACCCTGACACACACACACGCTGACACACACACACGCTGACACACACACACGCTGACACACACACACCCTGACACACACACACACCCTGACACACACACACACCCTGACACACACGCTGACACACACACACACGCTGACACACACACACGCTGACACACATCCCTGACACACACATAAACACGCTTACACACGCACACACGCCGACACACACACTGACACACACGCGCGCGCGCGTCACCTATGGGGAAGAAGATCTCGGAGGGGATGCGTGACATCTCGGCCGCGTTCCCCGCGAGGTCCTCGGAGGAGGGGAATGCGAGAGGCGAGGACGAGTGGCGTGTCCCGCCTCCTCCTCGCTCGAGCTCCTCGAGCGCGGCCAGCACGAGGTCGAGCAGCGACTGGCGAGACGAGAGACCCGCGGCGCCGTCCCAGCAGCGCGCCGACGTCGCCAGCAGCGCCAGCAGCCCCAGCAGCGCGTGCACGCGTATGGCGGCCATTTCTGCGTACAGCGGAAGAGGAGGAGAGGGAGGGAGGGGTGGAGGTTGGTGGCGGTAACGCTGCGGCAATTCAACGGGAGGACGGCGAGCAAAAAACGAGAAGAGACACTTTTTTTTCGGATTCCGTAAAACAAAAAAACACACGCAACTGAATATTTGAAGAGCCGCAATGCACGTGAATACGAGACGGCGGCCCTTCATGAACGACGTCGAGGAGACAGTCGTTCATGGAGAGCCGCAGGTTCCTGACCATCCCCCCCCCCCTCCCCCGCTGGGACAAGTGGCAGGAGACAGACACGAGTGGTCGAGGTCACAGTCGCTCCACGCCCGCTGCCCTCCCACCGCCCTGCATGGTCGAGTACGGAAATTAGCTGCTGCTGCTGATGTTGGAGGTGGTTCACAGAGACAGTTAACAACAACAAGACATCAACACGTTCAGCAGTGGCGCTGTGGCTTCAAACATAGAGACATGTAATATTATCGACGTTTCCCAGGGCACTGGCCCCTGCGCGAAACGTCGCCGATTGTATACGTTTCCTTTCAAGGCCACCGTGTTGTTGATGAACGTGTTGAGTTTGGTGGATACGATCATCAGCGTGGCAGATGCATTATCGTTATAATCATCGTGATTATCCAATACGGCTTATGCACGTGAGAGACCATAACAATCATCAACAGCGTCATCTAAAATCAACTATCTGTTACCACGCGAGTACCATGATGGTCATCAACATCAATGATCTAGTGACCAAATGTCGTCACATCATCACCATCACCGCTATCCTCCGATGTAATTGAACGAGGAGAGAGATGGTCATCATTACAAATATCGTTTAATCGGATTAGATTCCGCCCCATGATCAGCATCTTCCGATATTCTTGAGCCGAAATGAGAACCCATGAGAGATCATGCTCCCCCCCCCGCAAAGAGATGTTGTACCAGTGAATATTATTCTCCCTAGATGACGTTTAAGAAACGAAAGGTGCATCATATACTATTGCACAACAATGTATTTCGCTTTCGGAAGGAGCTGTGGCGCAGCGGTTAGCGCACTGCGCTTGAAACCCCCATTAAATGTAATGTCACATCTTGCGCTCAAAGCATATACGTATATTCGTTAGAAGGCAGAGTATTGATCCGTTCAATGTCAGAAACGATTGATTGATATCCGGTTATCAGAAACGTGTAACCAGTAGTGGAGGCGCTAGCCAATTGGGGCCCCTAAAAAGCAGACAGTGTTTTAACCCGTCCACAATTAATGTAAAGATATGGACATGATGTGGAGATGTAGTGAGATAGGAGAGAGATGTTCACCACAACAAGAGAGATCTAGCGAGGCGCGAGAGAATCGAGCAGCAGACAATGTCAAGATGCGACCGATCAATTTGACAGGTAAGCGAATTAGTCTGCTACGTGTCTTAGGATTTCAATTTGAGACTGACATTCGAGGCACTCGTGCGGTGTTGATATTAAATTCGCATTGGTGCCCTGGGCTTGCTCGGGTCCCTCCAAGCTCGCTTTGCGAATGCCCTCGCGCCACCACAGCGCCGCACGTGACCCGCTGCCTGCCGCGTGTCCATGACGGTAACCGACGATCGGTTGCGTCAATAAGCCATTGCCAGACTCCGGTAGCCGCCACCCGCATCTTCGTCTGTGCAGACCTTGCGCACAGGTGCAACGTGGGTCGTTGCGATCACCCGAGAATGTGGAAACATTCGTAAATCTACATCGCGCATCGGTGCACGGGGCTGGTTGGTGCCAGCCAAGATGAATGCGCCGCTCTTCATGCGTCAAGTCCAAGCAAGGTGTCTGGACCATTGCATATACAAAATAATAACAATAATAATAAACACCCTCTTGGCAATCCACTGCTGGATGAAGGCCTCCCCATGCCGTGTCGGTAACGGGGAAGGTGGGGGGCGTATTTGGCCATACTTCACCACGCTGGATAACAATGCGAATTGGCGAAGAACGGAAGGACCGTCTAGAGGCGACCCAGTGACCACTGAGTCGCTGGTGTTAGCCTCGGTCGGGAACCGAACTCAGCTGAGCTGGTTCAGAATTGCAGCGTGCTGACCGTGGGCTACCGCGCGTGCCCGCGGCTTTGTCGGGGTTGTTCGTGCCGGCTGAGATGAATGGAGGTAGCCACGGCACGTGAGGTCCGAGGATTATTGCTGGGAGCCGCGCGCCGCTGTTTGACTGCTGAACTCGATCCACACACAGACTGAGCCTGCAATAATACACATATCCCATACGCGAACCTACGGGGTCACGTCTCTATAATAACGGGCGTACGAATTATGCCGGCCCGTGTGCTCCTCCACATTCAATATAAGAGGCAGCCAATCTGTCTGAGGACGGGATTACTGAGACATCGCCTTGGTCAATCTACTGATGGACGGATGGAAGTGCCTCCCCTCCCACCACCCACGCCACGTCAGTCATGGTCGTGTTGCTTTCACCATACTTCACCACGCTGGTCAGTGCGGGTTGATGGTGTGGAGAGAGGCAGCACTGGTCTCAGATATCACTGCCGCTGCTCACGCTGGTTCACAGCGCAGCGCGTTAACCAATCCGAAACACAATTAAACATTGCCTCGTAATGTATGCTCGTGTGAAAAGCAATATCCTGATGGTGAATGCAAACAAGGTGCAATGGCAGTAAGATGAGTCACGGTGATGATAACTTATTTACATGTTCGAAACGTGTTTACACCCCTTTGCACGTGATTTGTTAATAACAGCAATTTGTAAGGTTCACGTATAATTGCATATTTACATCTTCATTGCAATACTTACTGTGGTTTTTAAATTCAATTATTAACTCCCCGCAAATCGAGCTCGTACATTGTACCAAAGCAATTATAATGGTTGGTGTGGTTTGTTGTACACGTGTATTTCGCTACATGCGGGTACCGCTTAATTGAATGATATGAACTGCAGTGTAGGACCGCGTGTGTGAGTGCATTCCACAGTGACTCTGGTTAGTGACTGACTTGCAACGAGAGATCGAAAATTACAGATTCAGCAGTCGGACAGCATGCGGCTTGTAGTTCATCGGCTGCGATCAATCCGCTGCCGGATGAAGATATCATCTCTCAAGCTCCTGCTACAATGCCATTAATCCACACACACACAGAGAGCCTGCACACGGACCGACTTGGAGTCATGAAACCCGAACACCAACATTTGCCTGCCGCGTGGGGTGCGTCTGCGCACGTGCGTCTAATCGCTCGGCATGGTCGCTGCGACGCCTCTCTCACCGTACGACTCGCGGCGGCAGGAGTTGCAGATGGAGATTCACGTTCCGCCTCTTCAGCGTCCGTTGCTTCGACTTGCGACGGGTTCTTACGAGCCGGCAAACAACAACAACAACAAGAACGCACGACAGTTCGAGTAGCGCAAATTCGAGCCTGCCAACTTTTATTCTCTTCCCAACTGCCTCGTGATTAACCCTGGCGCTGTGGCCGAGTGTCTCGCTTATATACAGGACAGACAGAGCGCGCCGTCTCGTCAGGAGTGGGTGGATGTAACACTTGAGGCACAAACTCGCCCACCTCCTTCCCTCCTCCACTCACCCCTCCCCCTTTATTCACACTGCCCCCCCCCACGTCACCCCACCCCCTCCCCGAGCTATTTTGAGATACGGCCCCGTCTGATGGACCGCGCGTTACGTATTTGATAGAATATATCATAGATATTACGCACATCTCACCACACAGATGGCATGCGATTGTGTTTTTTTTTTAAAGGAGGAGGTAAGGGGTAGTGGGGGTAATGGGGGTCCACAAGAATAATGACAGTAATATTGTTAACAAACGATCTATGGGCTCGCGAAGGATATCGCAGGAGCAGTAGTAGTAGTAGTTGTTGTTTTAGGGTCCTTGCTTTATTTCGGGCAGCGGTTTTTACGCAATCGATTTTTGGGGGGGCAGTTATAGCCCCGGCGTGCGCGCGCGCGCGCGCTCGCTTACGGCCACGGCTGAATTATTTATCTGGAAGGAGGCAGTGCGAGTTAATTACGCGGGGTGCGAAAGTAGCACGGCGGATGGGGCAGTGGAGGATGTGGAGGCGGGCGGGCGGGGGGGGCGGGTTGGCGTGGCGGGGATAGTGAGTTGAGAGGAACATTCATTGCGCAGCTGCGCCTCGCAATGCCGACTGGCTTGAGATCTCCGCCTTCTGAACTTGACAGGCGTAATCAGCGGCTTGGATGACAGCGGTGGTAATTGTTTAATTCATCATTAGCGCGGAGCGGCTCGATGCGCGCTGTGAAGACGCGAGTAATGTGCGCAATTACAGACGGTGCGCTGCGCTGTGGCGCGACTACGCACGCCTCTGTGATTCTGGCGCGGCGGATGAGGAGGCTCTGGTGGGCACCGTCAAGGAAGTGCGAAGAAACGCAAAGTTGCTGGAGTGTGAGAGGACTGAGACGATGGCAACACGACAAGGGGGCTGTCGCATTGGAGCCGTCTCTTCTCGCGTGGGATGTAATCACGCGCGCGAATCCCTCTTATAAAAAGAGGGCATTGGCCAAACATCTTCCATTCCAAAAATCCACAATTCAGGACCTCCTGCGATAGAGACAGTGGATACATAAATGGCATTAATTACGATATTAATAATTTAGATTACACGGTCAGCTTACAGATGCAACGTCAAATAATGGCACGAAAAATGTCAATCCACCGCTGACGACGATTGCCTCCCCACTCCATTCCGGTCATGATAGTCGTTTGACCATACTTCACCACACACTGCTCACTGCGCGTTGGTGAACGGCACCTCGGATCGGTTCAGACATGGCTTGCCATTGACGTGAGCCGTGATCGGAGAACAGAACTCCATGATGATATACATAATTACGTCCAATTAAATATTTCACAACCCACATTACTCAGTTTAGCAGTAAACCGTCCGTCTCACAACGTGCGTGGGCTGTACGCTTATAGCGAGATTCCTTCCACTGCCATCACTCCGACCTTTTCTGGTGGACAATATAGACACCCACATACACACACGTAATAACTGTCCATCACGTGAACACCAACGCGATCGCAGGAGCGTTACGACGATACAATGCCGTCCGTTTTGCCCAGAACCGATATCAATATCACTCGCCGCTGATGTGAGCCGTGGCTGAGAATCCAGTCCACCGTCCGTGCCTATATCAACTCGACAATGTAATGCATTGATCGTCATCATCGTCATCATGGACATCGTCATTGTTGTGTCGGAGTCGTCGCTAGCGCACCGCGCTGCAAACTCTGCCACCTGAGTGTGATCGATCCCCGACTCGGGATAGCACCAGTGGCAAGTGATACCCTGGACCGACCCCTGCGGTGAAGTATGGTCAAATCAACCCCTTCGACCCACACGGCGTAGGGGGGAAGCCCTCATCCTGCAGGGCGTCGGCTAAAGTGTCCGCGCACGAGCGGCGCTCCACGGCGATTCGAAGCGTTGATTGGCGTGGCGAGGTGCACGCCGCTCCACGCTCCGTGCCGTCGTGCGTCATCATCCCCCTCCTCATCCCCGTGTGGGCCAGCGGTAGGGAGGGAGGTCGTTGGAGCCCGCGGGTGAGAAGTGCATCACCTGTGAAGTGTGGCGTGCGTGCTGGCGTAGGTTGCGTGTCGTGCGTGGCGTGCGGCGTAGGGAGCGGCCAGTGCAGGGGTCAGCGCGCTGCGCTACGAACCCGGCGACTCGAGTTTGATTCCCGCTCACGGCCACCACCAGTGACGATTATCTGAAACAGTATTGGACCTCACCTAGGTCGATTCAGCCTCAAATGATTACACGGTGGCTACTCTGGAGACAAAGGCGGCCGGGCGTGGTGCTGGCCACCCGCCTCCTCGTGTGCCGTGCCGGCCTTCATAGGTGCTCGCTAACAACACTTGCCCCAACAGTCTGTTCAGGCTATAAGAGGGGGGGAGATCTTTGTCTTTGTGCGCATCGAATGAGGCGTGCACGCGCGCATGAGCGCGAGAGCAGCAACTCGTGGAGCGGGCATTGACTCGATGAAAGGTGGCTGACGATGCCAAGACGTCACACGCAGCGGGCCGTAACTCTGCGTTTCACGCTGGCCGACATCTCATGCGGGTCTGACCTACACGGTCCAAGGGGCTGGGAGAGCAGAGAGGTGTAGGGGTGGGGGTCAATCAGGGTTAAGGTTTGACCGACAGTCCGTCCGCCCCCCCCCCCCCGGCCGCGTGGCATCAATGGCCCCGCGAGGCCACGAGCAGGGCGCATCGCCCAAAGCTCATTGCATGAACTTCACAAAAGCCCCGCGGTGGAGCCGCGCCCTGTTGCGCGTGTTCCCCTTTGTCGAGTCCGCCCCCTTCCGCAGACGTCCCACGGACGTCCCACGGACGTGCGACTCATAATAGCGACGTCGCATGGATCACGGGAAATGCGCACGGACGATTTTCGGAACGTCATTATTTAGGTATTCGTAAAACAACCGAACGCAATTCGTCAATAGCTCTGCCCTAGCGAGAAACAGCAACTAACAACGCGTACAATAGATGACGTTTCGAGCAAATGGCCAGCAGGGTCATTGCCCGAAACGTCACCTATTATGTATATTTAAAATATGTTACGTCAGGGCGCATCCCTGCAATTGCTTGTTCAGGCTGCTCGAAGGGCCTGTGCGCCCCACAGAGAGCCCGTGTCCACCAGCGGCTACTTAGCTGGCCAGCCGTCTTGGAAGATTATCATTCTTATCGCCTTCGCTTTTGGGGCAGTGTTATTGACGAACGTGTTTAACTTTGATTACTTGGACGTAGCATCAGAAAAGACAATAATAACGATAATCATAAATTACTTCCAGAGCCTCTGAAACCGTGACCACGTGCGCGCGAGGGAAGCGCTGGGGAATTGCCGAGTGGCGTTCGTGTCTCCGGCGCGGTAATTGTGGGCACACAGTGAAACACAACACATGCGATATGAATAATGAGAACAAGGCGTGAACATGATGCACAGCCTCCGACGTGATGAGAGTTTACAATTTATGATCCTCTGGCTGTTACGGTTTCAGACCCTGAAATCTACACAATTCTAGCAAATATATAAGCGAAGTATAGTAGGCATGGTATATATATATGTTACATACACAGTATCGATGGAGTATCAGACACTCCAGAAAGTGTGTCCAGCGCGGTGAAGTATGGTCAAAACAACTCCCACTTGTGGAGCCTTTCATCCAGCAGAAGATTTGGAAAGTGCTTTAATTCAAAATAAGCTATAACGAACTGAATCGTATTTGCTAACATGTTCTGTAGCCCCATGATGAACATTTAAAACCTTACACCCTTGACAGATTGCTTGCGGTACGGTAAAGTGTGAGTTCCCTGTGCACCCGCTGGGGCTAATGAAGAATGCACCAAAATAGTCGGTTCCTTTAAACCAGCGGCTCTGCTTCTTCTTCTTAACGTGGGGTGCCCGCATCCCACTGTGGGTGCGAGATGCCCTTTCTGGGGGTGCGAGACATGGCCACTGCTTGAGAAGACAGACGGACAAAATATAAAACTCTGCATCTGGGAATTCGCCAAACATCCAAATCATCGCGTCATACCCACAGGGACGCCGCTGCCGTGGCTTGTGGGTTCAGAGCACGTGACTGGAATTGCAATCTCGATGTCGCGGGTTCCACTCCATCTCCTGGCGTGGCAGTTTAAATGAATGGTGCAAGTTTCTTAAATCGAACCCTTTCACGTATGTGTCCACCAAGCAGTGTCAATGGGTACAACACAGTCAATGGGTACAACACAGCCAATGGGTGCAACACAGTCAATGGGTACAACACAGTCAATCGGTAGGGTGCGTATGATGGAGTAAAGTGTGTGTATGTATATTTGTTGAACTTCTTTCGCACCGTACATAGCCAACCGTGGGAATCGGAGGTGCGGCGGAAAGGACAGCAAACTAAACACCTAAAGCCGTTCTAAAGAAGTGAGTTTTAAATCTCCAGTGGCTTCCCAATGTCGGAAGTAGGAAGAGCGTTCCAGACGGACCCAGAAGCGCATCTGAAAGCGCCGCGCGATGCGGCGACCGCCGTTTTTGTTCGACAGTTAAAAGCGTGGCCGCTCCCGCCGTCTCTCCCAAGGCGCATTCACTGCCGGCGTGGAAGTGTAGGCCAAAGGATCTGAAGCTCGTCTCCGGAGCCCCTTCTGCTTGGAGGCCCTTTCACCGACAGGGACGCGAGAAAGCCGTTGCAGGGCTGCCCCCCTGCATCACCACGCTTGTAACTGTATCAATCTCCCGCACGGCTCGAACGAACAATGCCCCGAGGAGTGGGTGGCCCGCACATTGGGGAAGCCGCGCGCACACACACACATCTATCGCGCCATTGTATTATTTATGTGGCGTAATATTTTATTAATTTGTCCATTACGGTGCCGACTGAATCTCTCGGCATTGCATAATTTAAAGCGAAATGCCAAAGTAACAAAACACCCCCCCCCCCAAAAAAAACACCCCGGGCAATGTATTTTTGGTGCGTGGAGTGAAGATGCGATGCAGAATCTTG